GAGTACCTTTATCCGCTTGTAACATCAGGAAATCGGTGATGGCCTTTCGCTGTTCGTAAAGGCGGTCTAACATATGTAGGGTTGAATTCCACCTTGTTGCAATGTCGCAGATCAGGTGATGCTGTGGAATTCCGTTCTGCCGCTGCAGCTCAAGGAGGGTGTGCTTTGCGGTGTAGGAATGGCTGAAATGCATGCAAAGTTTACGTGACATTTTAAGGATGTCTTGCAGTGGGATGGTGGATTTTAGGAACCGCTTGACAACCAGATTGAACACGTGAGCCATGCATGGCGCATGGCACAACCTTCCTTGATGCAGAGCAGACACCATGTTCTTTCCGTTGTCGGTCAACATGGTTCCCGATTTTCAGTTTGCGCGGAGACAGCCATCTGTCGATTTCTCTGTTCATTACACTCAGAAGTTCCTCCCCTGTGTGACTACGTTCGCCAAGGCATACCAGGTGCAGCACAGCGTGACACCGTTGCGCCCTGCACATGTGATATGCCGGTCGGGTAATGGGACTTGGCACGGGGGGTGGCGGCTGAGGACACGGCGGAAGAAGAGGTGGTAGAGGCGGACATCTTTGCTGGACCAAGGACGTGCAAACGTGGAGGCAAAAGCGGCGTGACCTGTCCAAGTTGCTGGTGCAGCTGTGCCGGCACCACGTTCACCCAGTGGGCCGTAAATGACATGTACTGTCCCTGACCGTAGTTACAGCTCCACACGTCGGCGCTGCCGTGCACTTTGGCAGAGACCGACATGCTCAAAGACTGGCCCACCATCTCTTCTACATGTGAATGCAGAGCTGGCACTGCCTTTTTGGCGAAGAAATGCCGGCTTGGCACTCTCCACCGCGGCTCGGCACAAGCCATCATTTCTCGGAAAGGTGCTGAGTCCACCACTTGGAAAGGGAGGGACTGCAGCACCAGCAACTTGGACAGGAGGACGTTCAGCTTCTGCACCGTCGGGTGCGTGCTCGCAAAACTGTTGTCTCTTGGAAACGGATTCCAAGAAAGACTGCTGACGGAATCCGTGAAGAGGAGTAACAGGAGAAGGAGCATCTGAACGAGCGGAAGATGCCAACGAGCGACAACTCCCCTCAGCAGAGGTGTTGGAGCCTTGACTGGCTGATAGAGGGCGATTGACGTCGGGTGACGGAGCAAGTAACGGAGCGGGTGATGGAGCGGGGGCTGGGGCAGGCAGAACCGCCGTATCTTTATCATGGTTTTCCCAGGCCACCGAATGGCGACGCTGCATATGCTGACGCAACGCTGTAGTCCCAACATTGGCTTTGACTTTCTGGCCACATAGTCGACATACGGCTACGTTTACTTCCTCCGGCGGCTTGACGAAAAAATTGCCACACCGCCGAGTAGGAAACTTTGCCCCCGCTACTCCTCACTGGCTGACTGCTACTTCCTCCATGCACACCGGCACCACTACTGGCCGTGGTGGTAGGCTGCAGTGGAGCTGGTGCTCTACTCCGTGGCCGTTTGGCTCCACTGACACTGCTGCGACCCTGCTGCCTCCTGGGCAAAACCCACCGACTGTTTTGCTCGCTGGCAAGCTGGCACCCTCTTCTCCTGATGATGCGGAAGCAATAGCCTGATGACGACGAGGCTGCCAAGTGCGATCAGCCTCATCATCATCAATTAGGGTCGTCTCCGCGTCACTACTAGCCCCCTCGGCTGCGTGCGTGTGGGTCAGGAGACAGACCTGTCTCTAGACCGGCTACCGAGCCACTCTCCTCGCCAGTACTTCTTCGCCTGGCTGCTGAAGAGGCGGATGTCTCCCCCCGTTCCTGACCGCCCTCTGTTAGCTCTTCCTCACTGTACAGTGGGGCTGAGCCCACAGCATGCGATACTTCGCTTGGTGAGGGAACACCAAAGGACAGGGGCAGGTCGAGGACACGTGATTTCAGTGGGCTTGCTCCCGGGCCATGCCAACTAACGGTTGTGTCTGACGTACCCACCGACCGTTGGCTGTAGGTGTCAGAGGTGACCTGGGAAGAGGAAGACGACCGAGTCAACCAATCGATGACGGCAGGGTTGTGTCGGTGGAGACACGACCGCTGGATGACACCGGAGGAGCACTGGCCTCTGGCTGCGACTAGTGCTGCCTCGACCCCTTCCTCTGCTGCCACGTCTGCTCGCTCCTGAAACATTGCCTCATCTGCCACTCCTCTGCGTGTTGTCTGACATACTCTTTAATTCAATAAGCACCCCAAAAAATAAAACCGGATTTAACTCTTTGAACGTACAATAGTGGTTGTGAAGCAGAAAGAAGTCAGTTTATTTAGCACAATCGGTCAATTGCAGCTTGCCGTTGGCTGTAAACTGTAAGTTTATGTCACTGGAATGCACTAATCACCCAAAAAAATATTACCGCCCACCCGGCGTGTATATGGATTTAACTCTTTGAACGTACAATAGTGGTTGTGAAGCAGAAAGTCAGTTTATTTAGCACAATCGGTCAATTGCAGCTTGCCGTTGGCTGGAAACTGTACGTTTAGGTCACTGGAATGCACTAATCACCCAAAAAATATTACCGCCAGCCGGTGTGTAAATGGATTTAACTCTTTGAACGTACAATAGTGGTTGTGAAGCAGAAAGTCAGTTTATTGTACATAATCGGTCAATTGCAGCTTGCCGTTGGCTGGAAACTGTACGTTTCTGTCACTGGAATGCACTAATCACCCAAAAAAAATATTACCGCCAGCCGGGCGTGTAAATGGATTTAACTCTTTGAACGTACAATAGTGGTTGTGAAGCAGAATGTCAGTTTATTTAGCACAATCGGTCAATTGCAGCTTGCCGTTGGCTGGAAACTGTACATTTCTGTCACTGGAATGCACTAATCACCCAAAAAAATATTACCGCCAGCCGGCGTGTAAATGGATTTAACTCTTTGAACGTACAATAGTGGTTGTGAAGCAGAAAGTCAGTTTATTTAGCACAATCGGTCAATTGCAGCTTGCCGTTGGCTGGAAACTGTACGTTTATGTCACTGGAATGCACTAATCACCCAAAAAATATTACCGCCACCCGGCGTGTAAATGGATCTAACTCTTTGAACGTACAATAGTGGTTGTGAAGCAGAAAGTCAGTTTATTGTACACAATCGGTCAATTGCAGCTTGCCGTTGGCTGGAAACTGTACGTTTGTGTCACTGGAATGCACTAATCACCCAAAAAATATTACCGCCAGCCGGCGTGTAAATGGATCTAACTCTTTGAACGTACAATAGTGGTTGTGAAGCAGAAAGTCAGTTTATTGTACACAATCGGTCAATTGCAGCTTGCCGTTGGCTGGAAAACTGTACGTTTGTGTCACTGGAATGCACTAATCACCCAAAAAAATATTTACCGCCAGCCGGCGTGTAAATGGATTTAACTCTTTGAACGTACAATAGTGGTTGTGAAGCAGAAAGTCAGTTTATTTTGCACAATCGGCAAACTGCAGCACCAACTGTGCACGACAGCCACCAAAAAAAAAAGGGTGTATGTCACTTTAAATTTTCGATTCTTTTTATAGCTGTGGCCCTAAGTAACGATTCTGTGTCCCTGAGTAATGATTCTGTGTCCCTGAGTAACGATTCTGTGTCCCTGAGTAACGATTCTGTGGCCCTAAAGTCTCTGTGGCCTTAACTCTGTCCCTTAATACACACAGGTCTGTCTCTCTTGAATGACCGGAGGCTAATGGAGAATTCTAAGATGGCCGCGATTTATAGCTCCACCATTACACAGTGCTGGCTGGCTGCTGATTGGCTAATGCGATCACATGTCATGAATGCATTATGGGTCAGCGCGCCTTGTCTGCGCGCCTTCCCAGAGATCCCCGCCCCATCTTCTCTGTCCATTTTCTCCGTCGCCACACATGTCGCCGCCATTTTTGGGAAAATTCGATTCGTGCATCCGAAGTTTGCTAATCTTCGGATTCATCGCGAATAGAATTTTTCCAAATCTTCGGAACGAATTCCACTTCGTCATGTTCGATTCGCTCATCTCTAGTTATAATACCACTAACAGTTGACCGTGGAATATTTAGTAGCAAGGAAATCTCACAGATTTCCTTATTGCACAGGTGGCAAGCTATCACAGTACCACGCTTGAATTCACTGAGCTCGTGAGAGCGACCCATTCTTTCAGAAATGTTTGTAGAAACAGTCTGCATGCGTAGGTACTTCATTTTATACAACTGTGGCCATGGAGGTGATTGGAACACCTGAATCCAATGATTTGGAGTGGTGTCCCAATACTTTTGGCAATATAGTGTATTTAAAGGCACTGGAATGATGATGCATAGATCTACTTCATAAAGAGTCGGATAGCCTCCTTATCACACTGAAGATCTGCATCTGTAGCTTATAGAATTGATTACATCATGGTGTAACAGTTCTCTCTCTGAGACAAATGATGGTGTTTAACCACTAGCCTACAGGGCACTTATACCCCCTTCCTGTCCATGACAATTTCCAGCTTTCAGTGCTGTCGCACTTTGAATGACAATTGCGTGGTCATGCAACACTGTACCCATATGAAATTTTTATCATTTTTTTTTGTGACAGATAGAACTTTATTTTGGTGGGTATTTAATCACCTCTGGGTTTTTTCTTAAACAAACCAAAAATCCACAGAAAATTTAGAAAAAAAATATTTTTTTTCTTAGTTTTTGTTATAAAATTTTGTAAATAAGTGATTTTTCTCCTTCATTGATGTGCGCTAATGAGGGTGCACTGATGGACACCGATAGGTGGCACTGATGGGCACTGATGAGTAGGCAGTGGTAGGTGACACTGATGTGAATTTACAGGCATCACTGATTGGCACTGAAAGGCAGCACTGATACATGGCACTGATATATGGCACTAATAGGCAGCACTGATAGGCGGCACTGACTGGCACTGTTAGGCGGCACTGACTGGCACTGATAGGCAGCACTGACTGGCACTGATAGGCAGCACTGATTGGCAGCACTGATTGGTGGCACTGATTGGCATTGATAGGTGGCATTGACTGGCACTGATGGGTGACACTGAAAGGCAGCTCAGAATGGGCACTGATATGTGGCATTGATGTGCACTGGTGTGCACTAATATGTGGCACTGATGGGCACTGGCACTGATGAGCACTGACATAATGCACTGATGGACACTGACAGGTGGCACTGCTGGGGCTACACTGATCATCAGGGCACACTGATCATCAGTGCTCTGATGATCAGTGTAGATGTCCCCTCTGCGGAAAGCCGATTACCGGCTCTCCTCTCGAGCTGTCAGCGTGACAGCTCGAGAGGAGAGAAATGCCGATAATCGGCATTTCCCTGTTTACATGTGATCAGCTGTGATTGGACACAGCTGATCACATGACCGAGCCGACATCTTCGGCTCTTTCCGTGATCGGTGATCCGCTGTGTCCAAGGGACACAGCGCACCGCCGATCGACTGTGCTGCGCGCTCCCTGAGCCGCACATGCGCGTGAGAATGGGAGGATGTCATATGACATCCTCCCAGAACGAGAGAACCACCTTGCGCCCGTCAAATTACTATATGGCAGGCGGGAGGTGGTTAAAGTCTAAAGTGATACTAAACATACAATGTTTAATTGCCAAGTATAAGTATAAAGATCATGTTGTTGTATTCATTTAATATAAAAAAGCATCTGAGTACCTTATTTAATCATTGCTATTCAGCAGTCACATGACATTTTTTCAGGTCTTTTCCTCAGGGAAAGATCTGAAGGAGGAGTTTCTTGTTCTTTGCTGATGTACGCCCTATAGCAGCAGAGGATGTCTGAACTATGAATTTGTGTCTGCACAGTACTGATTGGTGCTGTGCAAGTCACATGACATTACAAAAATGGCTTTCAGAATAGAGATTAAAAATAAATACTTAATAGCAACAACATGTTTTAACCACTGGAGCCCCAGGCCAATTCTGACATTCCTCTCCTACATGTAAAGAAATAGATTTTTTTTTTTGCTAGAAAATTAATCCCAAACATTATAAATAATTTTTTATTAAGCAGAGACCCTAGAGAATAAAATGGTGGGTGTTTGCACATTTATATGTTATTCAGTATTTGCACTTCAGTTTTTTTTTTTAAAAAAATACACTTTAAGGAATTTTAGTGCACACAAGCACAATTTAACCATGTCCCATCTGCATCTGGTATCCAGCTCTAGGCACACAGTGAGAGGAACGGATGTTGTTCCTCCCACTGTGTGATGTCAGAAACAGAAAGTGATGGGGATTTTGCCACTTTCACTTCTTTCCTTACCTGGCTGTTACCGGCCAGGGAAGCAGCTCATCAGACCAATCAGTGTCTGACCAGCTGCATTGGAGGCCAGAAGAGAGAGATTTTGGGTCTAATAGACCCCAGATCTCAGCATAAAGAGAACTTGTCACGGCCCATACTATTACAAGGGATGTTGTTCATCTCTTGAAATAGCTATAAAGTTGAGTAAAAAAAGTTAAAGATACAGTGTTAAAAAAACAAATTTGAAATAAAAAAAAAAGTAAAGTCCCCCGTTCCCCCATTCTCCTGCGCAAATGCGAACACACAGGTAGGTCCCGCATGCATACGTAAACAACGATCACACCACACATGTGGTATCGCTGCAAATATCAGAGTGAGAGCAATAATTTTAGTGTCAAACCTCCTGTGTAACTATAAACTGGTAACTTGTAAAGGCTTTTAAAGCATTGCCTACAGAGATTTTTAGGTACCGTAGTTTGGCACCCTTCTTCTGGCGGATGCAATTTTAAAGCATGACATGTTTGGTATCTATTTTCTTGGTGCAACATCATACCCAAATATTCTACCAAATAATTGGGTATTATATTGTGTTTTTTTTTGTGAAAAAAATTATGTGAAATAAAAATATGCAATGCCCACCATTTTATTCTCTAGGATCTTTACTAGAAAAATATATATAATGTTTTTTGGAAGCTCTAAGCAGAAGAATTATGTTTTTACATGTAGGAGAAGAATGCCAGAATTGGCCTGGACTTGAAGTGGTTAACACCCAGTTTTTTTGGTAAAATATAAAAGATGATGTTACACTGAGTAGATAAACATGTCACGCTTTAAAATTACTGTCCCTTTACATTTTTTGATCACTTTTATTGCTGTCACAAGGGATGAACAACATCCCAACAACAAGGGATGAACAACCATGACATGTCTCGTTTATGGAGACATCTGGGATCTATGAGACTCCAAATATTTCCTCTGGCCTCCAAAGCAGCAGATAAAATGGAGATTGGTTTAATCTGCTGCTACACAAGCCGGCAATGGCTTGCAAACAAACCAAAACTGGAAGTGACTAAATCTTGTTTGCTTCTGGTTTCTGACATCACACAGTTGGAAGAACAAAATCAATTCCTCTCACTGTGTTCAGGGAAGCCAATGCCACTGGTCACATCTTTAGAGGGCTCCCCAATCACTCGGAAGAGCCTGGTAAAGATGGCAGGAGTGGGAGGAGGGAACCCCCTTCCGCCGACTGTAAAAGTAACCCTGCAGCTCTCTAGCCAGTCGGATCTCTTTTACCAACTTTAGATTTGCTGGCTCTAAAAAATGATAGCTCAGTCATTGCTGTAGCTGCAGCGATGACCGAGATACCATCCTTGCAATCCAATGACGAACCAGTATGCCGCTGGTCGGTAAGTGCTTAAAGTACAACTACAGGAATTTTGGATAGAGTAAGGGGAGGGTTGTAATATCTGTTATATTTTTTTTTCGCCATCAGTGTCCCCATAGCCAAACAGGAAGTGAGAGGAAATCCTTGCAAATGAAGGGAATTCCTTAGGGAGCCTTAGGTCACCAGAACTAGTGTCCCCATTGAAAATATCCCTTTTATTAGTTTTCTGTGGACAACAAAAAATTGGAATTTTTTTTTTTTGTGATATTTTCACTTTCAATGACAATGGTAAACAGGACAGAGGACGAATCTCCTTAACAGGGGTAGAGACAGCAAAAAAAAAATGATTAATTTAGGTGTTCTAATCCATGCCTAATCTGTCCAAATCTAAAAAAAAAAAGTTTTGTTAGTCTTTTGTAGTTATACTTTTATTACAAATCTATATTTTAAAGCAATCAGTTGCAATCACTATTGTAACAGCCATGGATGCTGTCTGTCAGAATTCAACTGTTAAAAACATGAATTGTGAACTCTAGCTTAGGACAACAAGCAAGCATGTTAGTCTAATGTTTTCCGGCAGTGAAAAGCAGAAAGTAGGGATGCTTTTATTTGACAAATAAAAATCTGATGTACTAGATTTGCCCTTACTTAATACAGAAATTGTGAATATTCTTTCTTTACTTTCCCTTTCTACCATAAAAGTGTACTTGATGAGTACTAATTTTGCTGAATATCCTTTTCAGGATACACAACAGAAATCTCTAAAGCTTTAGAACAATGAGGGGCTGAAATATTAATTATTTGACTAATTGTATCTCATTTCCCATTATAGTAAAAGCAAAGAAAATCCATGGAATCATCATCACAAATCCCACAGAGTGTATTTAATAGAAAGCATTGCCATCTGTCTGTCTGGAAAAAAAGAAAGATCATGAATAATGTTAGCTTGATACATGTTCTTGTGTTGTAGCTTAATTACCAATTCTTACCTATGCTAATTTCCCAACCTGTGACCTCATTTTTTCTCTGCCTATAGTATCAAGTTATCAACTAGTAAAGCTGGACACCAACCAAAATGTTAGGTTTCATTAGAATAGAGTAGGGATTCAGTTTTGCTCCACACTTTTTGTCCTTATGGCAATGTGTCTTGGGACAGAAAAATGATGGGAAACCTTTCTAATGGATAACACAGACAAATTCTTTTTTTGTAGTAAAGTGGGGAAGGTTAGAAACTTTGTCAATATTAAATAATATGTTTTCCTATCCTGCTGACATTTGTTTCCTTCCATTCTACTCCTATTGTGACTTTGACAGGAAGTGAGGGGAAATCACCTCAATGGAGTCACATATAGAAATAAAAACCTTACGTTTTAATTCTGCACCCCATCTATCTAAAACTAAAAAGCTATAGTTGGAGCTAGGCTTAATACTATGGTTCTGATATAAAACAACAGAGATTAGAGATAATAGAAATAATAATAATTAATAAAATACAATAAATATCAGATTGTAATTTTGTTTCAAAGGATAATTTTAACATGTATCTTTCTTCAGGCTTCTAAACAAAACAAGCCCTGCTATTTGTAAAGTGGCCATTTCAGTTTAGTGTGTACTAGCCTGCAAACATTTCCCATGCAGATCTCTGTACCTCTCTGGTTCTTCTTCTACTCAGGGTACAGATAGAGTGTCTCTGGTCACTAAGCAACTTGCCTCACAGAATCAAACTTTCAAAGTAGCAATGCAAATCCTCCTGGTCGGTTTTAGAAGTATGCAAATGGCAGGCAGGGCTCTGTTCCCAAAGCTACATTACAGTGCCAGACTAAAAAAAAAAACTGAGTGTTCTGTTTCAAATGCCAATTTATGCATTGACATACCTCTTTGGACCCAGTCTGTCTGGACAGGATGGTCACCTACTGACTTGGCATCAACCACAGACAGTTGAACTTTTAAATAAGACACAATTTAAATTCAACCCAATTTTACATCAGCTAAAATACAGAGATTGATTTTCCAGTCCTTTGAACTGTAAGAAGACAATGACTTTCCTAAGCTCGGTCTCTTCAAAGTGCTAACACTAACTGATGGAACATGGAAGAAGCAGAGAAGGTCTAACTAGGACTGAACAAACAAGAACTAAACAGGAGGGAAGGACAGATGGAATTGCACAGTAAACATGTTGTAGTAGCCAAAAACCTCCACTAGATATCAGCGTACTGCTGAACAATAATAATTTCATGGCGTTAAAAAAAACACAGAAAAATCACGTAGACGTGGGGTAGAAGACTGGGTAACCCTTCTATCACCCTCCAGCCATGTGAAACATACCCAAACAGCAATGAAGAATCTCTAAACACGGTAAATGCAAGAGCAAGACCATGCAGCTAAGTCCTTGCATTGTTGATTGGTGACTACCTACATTTTGGACAAATCTTTCTTAGTACTAAATTTCTATATTGCTGTTCGACATTGCTAGCGTCCTGAAACCTCAACAGTAACATTTAAAGTGCATGCCTTCTGGAAACCACAGTACCCTCAACAAGTTTTACTGCATGTTGAATTTGGTAAACAAAGCTAATTTGTAACAGCCACTTTCCTCAAGCTTCACATGTTGCTGTTCATGCAGAGCCTTCCATGGACTCGCCATACTCTGTGTGAAAGCAACAAACTAATGTACATA